ATTAATATTTTGTGGCATGCCATGTATTGTACTTACTTGTTTAATGTCTGTCTTCCCTACCCACATTGGACTGTGAGCTTCAGGAGAGTAGGAATCTTGTATGAGTCATACATTGTAGCATCCCCAGTGTCTAGCACATAATAGGGGCTCAATAAATAGTTGCTGAATGAATTAATTCAAGGCCAGGAAGACCAGCTAAAGCACAGGCTCAGGGGTCAATACAAGGGTAGCCAGGGAGCATGGCTGCACTACCAAGTTGTGAGGGAAGCCTCAGAGACAGGACTAAGGAAGAGCTGAACCCAGGGACCCAGGATGATCCTGCTTCCCCCAAACTCTAGAGCCCAAAGACTGTGCCTGACAGACTATGGGGTAGAAGTCTGAAAGAATCTGGAAGGAGAAAGAGGAGGCCTGAGGTTCCCTCGTCTCCAGGGCTGAGGCTCAATGTGAGGGGAGTAGGGAGAAGACACCAGAGAGACAAATTTCAAAGTGTAACCACAGAGAACAACAGAGCCAGAGATGATCTCAATGCTATTTAACTTACTCTTTTTTATGAAGCTAACCAACATGCATAACTTCAACAAAAAAACCTGATAGAGACAGTACTAAAATATAAGAAATATATAGTCTGATCTCACGTAAAAAAAGAATTCTCATAAATCCACATAAAGCAATAGCAAGTAGAATCCAACCACATACAAAAGACTGATATCCCAAGTTGGTAAACCCAAACCCAAATTACGTTTACTGTAGAAATACAAGAATGGCTCCATGTTGGGAAGCTTTTTATCGTAAATCATGCATAATATTAGCTGGTTCAAGGACAAGTTTTCTTTCTGGCAATATGGTGGACTAGGTTCCTGGAAAATATTACTTTGTGCGAAACTAGACATGCTGGATAAAAAAAATTTTAAATCTTAAATGCCCCCATTAGCCGGAAAGAATGTAAGGAATACTCAGGCCAAATATTAACAGGGTATGGAAACCTGAAGAGAGAAGAGCTCTGAAGTCTTTAACCTTACAGTCATTTACTAAGCTCAGTGAGCCTAACTGTAAGTTTTCATTGCTTCAAAAGACCCTCCCAAGGTAGGGCATCTAACAGATTTCTCTCAGAAAGGTGTGCCCCTCAACAGGCTATACCTTCAATGTAATGGTGAATCCGAAGTAAAACACAAGGCAAACTATGTTAAAGGTTGGTCCTGAGAAGAGCAGGAAAATCGGCTAAGAATTTATAATTAGGAGTGGACTCTCAGTTACTTTTGCAGCCCAAATACAAATTTTCTGAATGGTCCAGTAAACCCTTAACAGAATATAACATGGTCCCAAACTGGTAATGTGCCCAGTCACCTGAGAGAAGCAACCAAGTCCTCTCTAAAGGATCTCCCCTTTTTTCCAGGCCTTATGGAATCCTAGATATGAAGTTGCAAGAAAAATGAGCAGCTCACAGTACAAAATCTTTTAAACACACGAGGACGCAAGCTTCCAGTGAGTAAAGACAACTGGAAATAACAGCATTATCAGACACAAAACTCCTCCATATAGTGAAATTATCAGATACAGAATAGAAAATAAGCATGTTTAACATATTTCTAGAAACAAAAGGGCAGCTTAAAGATGAGTAAAGAGTAAATATTCAAAAAATACTAAAAGATATCCATGAAAAAAAAAATCACTAAAAATAATTCAGTGAATAATTTTATAACAGATTATACAGCCAAAGAAAGTATTAGTGATGTGGATTTGAGATCTGAAGATATCCAGAATACAACACAGAGACACAAAGCAG